GTCACATAAAGAATAGGTGATGAAAAGTAGCAACCAGCTGCTGGCTCTGAGACTCAGACTTTGAAGTTTTGTTTCAAAACTTTCACACAGTCTCTTCGCAGCTGGACAGCCACCTGGATCTTGAAGTGTTTTGCTGCTGTTCATGTTGTGCAGGGTGGGGGAGGGTGGGTAGTAGGTTGGATCAGTGTTAGACAAACACGTCAGACATGGCCCACCTTATCTCGGGTTATGGTGCTGGGTGAAAGGGTGGACACCTGCCAGATGTTGTAGATCTTGTCTGCAGTCGGACAGGGTGCATGAAGATCAGCTTCTGCTGGTCAGGACGGGAGGCCTTCAGTGTTCTGGATCTAGGTCTTGACATAGTGCTGGCCTCAGCAAACTCTGTCCATTCTCCAAAAGGTCCATCGTCAGTCCAGATCTTCRGGTCTCCGGTGGCCTGAGTGGACGCAGACAGAGCAGACGGACCATCAGGAAACACTCCCCCATCACATGAAAACAACACACACACAAAAAACAAAACATTATCAATGAAACAGTTCTATTTAATTCAAGCAGCTTCTCAGTAAAATGTCAGGCATTTAATTTTTTTAATGCCCTTTAAATGCTGCTCCATCATTAAATAAATTAAATCTCAGATAAACAATAAAATAAAGAAAGAAGAAAAATAATAATCACCTTGTTCCTTAGAAATGCTTCATTTATATATTTAAATGGCATGTAAACTAGTCTTCAGGTTAGAATGAGACATACGTTACCCTTTTAACTCTGCATCTCATTTTAAAAAGGTGAAACAAAACAGCAAACCTCTCCCTCGCCTGAGGGAAATGATCAAATCACCATTTTGAAATAAAAGCACTGACTGAATCATTTGAAACAAAAAACAAACAAATGAGAAGAAAAAACAGTTCAGAACATAACGTTTTTTCCAAAAGTTTCATAAATTGAAGTATCACTCTTTGTCTTCAAATGAAATAATTTTCACACTTCACCCTGAGTGTTAGTATGTCAGGGGTTTAATGGAGCAGGAAAACAAACAAAAYGGGCTGTTTGCTGCCCGCACGCACCGTCTTCTTCAAAACACAGCTTGCGGCAGGGAGGGGAAAATGACCGGGCCCCTGGCAAAAGGCCCCCACCGAGCCGCCCCTGCCAGGAGGAGGCGCTGCGCGGCCGAACACAGCCGTGGCCAAAATGCGCTCCATTAAATATTAGTGATTAGTAAAAATGATTCACGGACAGACAAACTTTTATCAGTTATTGAWTTTAACCTTTGAATCACGTTGGTCCCCGGGAAAACCAACTTATAACGACTTCACACCCGCAGACACATCGTTCCCCGCTGCCAGCGTCATCTTTGTTTATGTCGTCGTAGCCTGGTCTCGAAATGAAAGCCTGTCTGGTCACATTCTGCGGCTGAAAACTCGGGCACCTCTGCCCTACTTATGGACATTCTAAACGATATGTCGGAACCGCGGTCACGGTGAAAGACTCCTAGCTTACAAAATGTCTCCTCAAATGACAAACAAGACGGCAGATTAACATGTATTAATCTGCCTGTACTCACCATGGATCTGTCATCCAGGCTACATACAAAACAGAAAACCTAAGCTCCCTGCTTTTAAACTCGGTGCGGAATGAATCGTTCCCACACCTACACTCAGCTAGTGTCATTACAGCCCCAGAAAGACCAGATCAGCGTCTAAAATTTATAATTTCAATGTGTGCAGCCTGAAATATTAGACGCAGCTGTTTAGCATAAAGTGCTAATGAAAACGTTAGCTCACCCGTTGTGGCAGGACCATAGCTTTAGCGCACTCCGATGCTAAAACATGGGCTGAGTGAAGGACCTTTTGTCCACATCACTGTCAACTCGTGCCTTTCAAAACACTACTCACAAAACTTCCTTAAAATGGAAGTCCAGCGGCCGCCTTTTAACTGACTTTTTAGCTTACCCTGTTTCACTCTGAAACAGCAAATGGAAAA